AAATTTTAGGCGATTCAAAACCCGTCGCCCGAATTCATGAAGAAGCACACAAAAAATTGGAAATCGACCTGAATTCCTATTTTATGGCCCTAAAATGCCAAAAAATGAGGAGCAGTAATGGAAAAGCAACAACTATTATTCATTAGGTCGTTTCTAATGGGCTCGTAAAATTATAGGCGATTCGGAGTTCGTCGTCCTAATTCATGAAGATCGAGTGGACATTAGCACACGAAAAATCGGAAATCGTCTTGAATTCCTGTTTTATGGACCTAAATGCAGAAAAAACGAGGAACGATCATGGCGAAGCAAAGATTATTATTCATTAGGTCGTTTCTGATAGGCCCACAAATTTTTTGATGATTCAGCCAGGCGCCCGACTTTATGAAAATAGTGTGGACATTAGCACACGAAAAATTAAAAATCGTCATGAATTCCTCTAAGGTTAGTTAGTCAATTTTAGGCAGCTTTGATGAGGTCATGAGGTGAATCACTACATGGTCTCTTGTTTTTTCCTTTTTTTTTTTATTTTTGACAAAAAAATATTGAGGAATATATGATCTAAGAGAATAGTACTATTTTTAAATTTTTCTTTTCTATATTGGTAAAGATGCATATTATCCTTTTTGGCCTAACCTTTGGGGTGTTGGTGTTTTGTCTCCTTGGGTTTTAACCCCTAAAGGCAACTGAATAATTGAATCCTGAACTCACTCTTATATGGTCCCTAACTTTCTCCTTCTATTTTGATGCGGGATCTGTGGGATGTTAGATGCACCCCTTAAATATTCACTACCATATTAAATGTTTTCTTTTAAAACTTTTAGTGTATATATGTTAAACTCGTCTTGAAATTATTTCGTATGGAGTAACAATTATATTTGTCGAAGCTTATACCAATATGAAAAAGTTACTATATTTTGTCGAAATGTACTTCCCATTCAGCAACTATCCTGAGACGTTAGGCAAACTATGTTTGGCTATGATGTCATAGCTTTTCTTTCCATGTCAATTCATGACTTGTTTAATGCATAGAAGTAGACAAATTCTTAGTTTTCAACTCCGTCTAACAACATACAACACATAAGATATTGAATAAAACCAGTGGCTATTAACTATGGAAAGAATTTATCGTCACGTTGTAAGCCCCACGCTAGTATCAAATTATCAATTGAATCACGACATTATCGTCATGTTATAAGCCCCTCACTATTATTATCAATGATAATAGGAAAGTTCTAAAGAAAGGAACAAGTTGTACAACTCACTACAATATATATCGCAATTTTCAACTAAGAAGATCCGAATGAACCCCTTCCACCCCTGACTACAATACTTCTCATTGTTAGGTCTATTGTATTTGTAGTATTATAACTTACATGCTTTTTCTTGTGACAAAGTCATATGTGTGACTGAGGTGGACTCTACTATTGTAGCATAGTATCAATTTCATCAGTTTTTCTAGAAGAAAATATATATAATAGTTTATTATTACTATTATTATTATTATTATTATTATTATTATTATTATTATTTTAGTTTTTAAGAACAACGGTATCGTGATCAGCTTGTACCCACCTTGATTAACACACTAGGTACCTGTTACACCCTCCGTCTCAAATTATCCGTCTCAAAAGATTTTGACTATTTTACTGTAACGACCCGGCCAGTCGTTTCATGAGTTACCGCCCCGTTTCCCCCATTTCTGCTTCTTATTGTCTTGTTCAGCTGTGTTATGTGTTATCGGGTTGGTTGGCTCGGGTTCGGAAAGATTTTGGTAAGGTTTGAGACACTTAGTCTCTTTTAAGAAAGCTTAAGTTGGAAAAGTCAACCGGATGTTGACTTATGTGAAATAGGACTCGGATGTGAATTTCGATGATTCGGATAGCTTCGGGAGGTGATTTGGGACTTAGGAGTGTGATCGGAATGTGTTTCGGAGGTTCGGGGTAGATTTAGGCTTGAATTGGCGAAATTGGAATTTGGCGTTTTCCGGTTGATAGGTGAGATTTTGATATAGGGATCGGAATGGAATTCCGGAAGTTGCAGTAGGTCCGTTGTATCATTTGGGATGTGTGTGCAAAATTTCAGGTTATTCGAACGTGGTTTGATAGACTTTTTGATCAAAAGCGTTTTTCGGAAGATTTTGGAACTTTAGGCTTGAATTCGATGTGATTTGGTTGATTCGATATTGTTTGAGGTGTTTTGAAGATTGGTACAAGTTTGGAGAGTGGTATGTGACTTGTTGGTGCATTTGGTTGAGGTCCCGGGGGCCTCGGGGTGATTCCGGGTGGTTAACGGGTGATTTTGAGAGTTGGTTGGACAGCTGAAGTTTTATGGCTGCTGTCATAACCGCATCCGCGGTTGGGAGGCCGCAGGTGCGACTCCCGCAGATGCGGAACCAAGCCGCAGAAGCGGCCAGGCAGGGTGTCAGGCGGAACCGCAGAAGTGGGCGCCAAGGCGCAGGTGCAGAAGGCTGACCGCAGGTGCGATCCCGGCCGTTTAAGTGAAAAACGCAGATACGGTTGAGTTGACCGCAGAAGTGGTGACGCAAAAATGGAAAAGGACAGCAGGTGCGGAATCCCTGGGTCAGAATGTATATAATTTTTCCTTCGCGATTTTCAGTGGTTTCACCATTTTTAAACACGTTTTCTGGAGCTTTTGGGCGATGTTGATGAGGGAATTCAAGGAGAATTCATTGAGGTAAGGTTTTGGATCATAAAAACTCGTCCTTATGGTATTATTTCACGGATTAGACTTGAAATTTGTGGAAAATTGGGTAAATATGGAGGAAACTAGGGCTTGGGAATTTAGGTCTTTGATTAAGGATTTGAAGGGCCATTTGTGGTTGGATTTTGAAGTATTTGATATGCATGAACTCGTGGGAAGATAAGGGTTCAATGATGTTAATTTTTTCGGATTCCGAGACGTGGGCCCGGGTGCCGGGTTTGGTTAATTTCGGGATTCGTATCGTAATTTCATTATTTTTGCATGGGCTTCGTTCCCTTAGCGTATTTTGACGTCGTGATTCTGATTTTTGATAGATTCTACGCGAGTTGAGGCCGAGACGAGGGGCAAAGGCATCGCGAGCTAGAGATTTAACCGGATAGAGGTAAGTAATGATTGTAAATGTTGTTCTGAGGGTATGAAACCCCGGAATTCACATCGTTGTGCTATTTTGAAGTGACGCACACGCTAGATGACGAGCGTATGGTCGTGCACTGTTGGGGACTGTGACTTAGTCCGCCCCATATGACTGTTTAGTTATTTGATTGAAAATTGCTTGCTATTATCATGTTTTGGGCTGAATGTCATATTTGGGCTTCGTGCCAGGATTTTTACTGCTATTCCTCACTATTTTGACTTAGTATTTGTAATCAGTCTTGCTATACTCTACTGTTTTTCACAACTCAGCCATCTTTACTCGTTTTTGGTATTTTAAATATTATTTTGGGCTGAGCATCATGTTTTACTGTTGCCCGAGTGGCTTGTGAGATTCTGACTGATTAAGGCCGAGGGCCTGTGTTGTGAGGATACTATGGGATCGGGCTGCACGCCGCAGCATGTGGTACCGATTGTGATATATGAGAGGCCGAGGGCCAGATTTATTATGCCACGAGGTGGGTTGTGATTTATATGAGGCCGAGAGCCTGTTGATTTTGCCACGAGATGGCTTATTATTGCGCTTGGGCCGTAAGGGGCCCCTCCCGGAGTCTGTACACCCCCAGTGAGCGCGGGTACCCAGTTTGTGATGTGAAATAGCCCGAGGGGCTGATGTTGTTCCATGTTGTTGCCCGAGGGGCTGATACGACTGATTGTGAGATAGCCCGAGGGGCTGGTTCTATTGGTATTGTTGCCCGAGGGGCTGTTTGTTGTTTTTATATTTTATACTAGTTTTCCATTCACTTGTTTGAACTGCTAAAATATGTTTTAAAAATGGTTTTACTGAATTAAGAAGTTTTTATGAGTTTTTACTGTTTACTGTATTGTGCTGGTTTTACACTGCCTCGCTATAGCATTTTGCTGTATATTTACGTGTTTTCTTATCGCTCACCTGCCTTTACTTTTATTACTTACTGAGTTGGCGTACTCACATTACTCCATGCACCTCTGTGTGCAGATTCAGGAGTCTCAAGTCACGCTAGCGAGGGTTGAATTGCTTCCAGCAGGCTTATTTGGAGTTGACTAGGTAGCTGCTCGGCGTTTGCAGCCCAGTGCTTCTCCTTCCTACTTTTATTTCGTTGTCCTAGTTTCGTAATAGACTATGTTGTCTTTTTCATACTCTTAGACGGATTGTAGATGCTCGTGACTGGTGACACCCCGATGTCGGGCTGTGTTTTATTTTCGCAGTTGATATATTTCACTTTGTTTTGGGATTATCATTATTTATGACTTGATTATGAATCATTATATCTGTTAATTAAACTTGGGGTTTGTGTCGGCTGGCCTTGTCTTCACAAGAGGCGTCATCACGACCGGGTCTGGGTTTAGGGTCGTGACATTTACCTTATATATGTCTTAAGATATTATCTCTCTTCATTTAATGCTTACTCAAAATTAAGGTATTTGTAGTCTCCAAGAACAATTTTAATTAAGGGTAGAATTAGAAAAACATAATTAATTTACTCTTGAACTTCTAAAATGATAAATAATTTGAGATAACTATTTTTAGAAACCACGATATATAATTTGAGACAGAGGGAGTATGTAACACTCCTCAAATTTATAAAAGTTTCGAGACACGCTAATTATAGAATTAAATTATTATTTTTTCGAGACACGCTATATATATATATATATATATATATATATATATATATATATATATATACACACACACACTTAAATAATTGGACATACAATTAGAAAAATATTAATAATTTTAATTATTAATTAATAAAAGTGGGTATCATTAATTATTAGTTAAGTTAAAAAAAACAAAAAATAAAAAGGGAAAAAGGGCCTAAAGCCCATAAAAGGGCTGATGGAACAAAAGGCTTCAAGCCTTAAGAAAACAGAACAAGGTTCTGTTATTCACGAAAAGGATTAGAAGGATAAAGCCTTAGACAAAAACAGAACAAACTCATGAAACAGAGAGTCACGAAACTCACGCAGGCAACGAAAAATGGTTCTTTACAAATCACTAATCCTTGAACTCAGGTATATAAAATTCCCTATTGTCAATTACCCTGCAGTAGTAATAGGTACGAATTGAATAGTTAATTCCCTTCTTTTGCTATATCAACAGTAAAGTTACGTGTTTAGGTGCGAAACTTTGAAATTAATTAAAATGCATTGACTGTTGTAGAATCACTTGTTTGACTGGTGTCAATTGGAATGGGGTCTACGTATTGGCTCGAGAAGTTTTGAGGTGAGTTGATATAATCCTTTACCAAAATGGTTTAACTTACAAAAGTATGCATACAAGGTGTTTGATGAATTGGCTAAAAGAGTGAATATGTACTTAATTGAAGTGAGTGAGTAGCTCATCTTACTTTTCCCAACTCAAAAGTTTTCTGCCTCACATTTAATTTCAAATTGTTTCCCCTTATGTAGCGGAAATAAAGTTCCTACTATTAGGTTTGTTCAGAATCTGTATTTTCAGTTTGATACAGTCGTATTAGAAACACAGTAAGAGTAAATATTGTGAGGAATCCAATTCATATGTTCAGATCTTTTTTTTGTTTCTCTATTTGGAATTTGGCCAAGAAGCCGCAGTAACATTCTATTAGCTTAGAATTATTTTAGTTAAAGTTAGATGATTTATTCTGACATATGTGCTTAAATTTTCAGATTTTTGTGTAATACTTATAGGCCATTTTCATGTTGAAAAAGAAAATTTCATGAAAAAGCAAGAATCTTTAGAAATACTTTTGAATGTTTATTTCATTTTTACGCCATACCTTACATTCAAGGATTCCAGTATGAGCATGTTTAAAAGATTTAGACTTGAAAAGTCACAAGAAAAGTTTTAGAAGGAAAAGATCTTTGGGAGTATCCTTTATTCTGAGAAGGGGTCATCGTCCAGGCCGAGGGTCCTGACCAAGGCGTTGACTTCCTGAAACTACTTGTGCCAAAGTAGGGAGCACACGAGCCGAGGGTCTCGTTGCTGAGAATTTACTTATCCAGGCTAAGGTATGATACATGAGCACTGAGAACCATGAAGCGAGTGGCACCTCGCGGATTGGGCCTATTCGATCAGGTTGGGATCGAACCCATGCTGATCACACGATGACTAAGACAAAAATAGGTCAGGATAGTTGGAACTCCCAAAGTATAAAGAGAAGTATTTCTTTTTTTAGAAAAAGAAAAGAATTTCTTTTAGAATATTCATAAACTGCTATTATGCCATTAATTTAGAATTGTTCTTATAAGCTTTATGTTTTACATGCATTTAGAACCTTTGCTCGTAATGTATATGTTATTAAAGTTTCGCCCCCTGTCGTTGAGACTCACTGAGTACAATGGATGGTACTGACGTTCTCTTTTGGGAACCTACATTGGTCTGCGGTACGACGTAGGAACTGATTTTGCAGGCGAGCAGGCTATGGGTTAGGACTTCCCTCACTTCTAGTACTATTGGTGAGCTCCGTTTTTGTTCGTGGTGTATTCCTTAGAGTCATCTTTATTTAGCTATTTCTACTTTCACTTAGAGAACTAGCCAGCAAATCTCATGTCCTGCGCAGTGCGTCAGTTTATCAGTAGAGGCTTCATAGACACAATCGGTGGGTTAAGATTCAGATGTTTTTGATAATAACTTAGCAGTATTTCAGTAGTTATGATTTACTTAATGGGGTTTTGACACGGCTACCCACAAAAATAAAACTATTACCCTGTTTTTCTACCCATAAACTAATTACATTTCCTACCCATAATAGTTTTTGTGGAGAATTTTTTCTTTATTCTCCAATTCTTTTTTATTTCTATGCTACATTTCTTTTTCTTTTTTTTCTTTTCTCCTTTTTTTTCCTCGGTTTCTTCTTATTTTTTTCTTTTTGCCTTTTCTAATTTCATTTAACTTTTTTTTATATTCTTTTTCTCTTTATAGTCTAATTTTATTTATTGTTTTTACTATTTTTATTATGATTTTTTACACCATTACTAAAGAAAAATCAATTTGTGTACCAATTAAATGTAGCTAATACAACCAAAAAATATTAACTAACATATAATACCAGTATAGTATATAGTTATACCAACAGGGTATACAATTGTAGGCAAAGAGTTAAGAAAAAATTTTCTTGTTTTGAGTTTCAAAATAACCACAAACTCAACAAACCCAATTTATGAGTTTCAAAGCTTCAAGGTCCTCCAATGGTATATTAATATTTTGCAGAAGTCAGAAGTCTTGGAATTCAAGTCATAGAATAAATCAAAGCGGAAAAAAAAAATTTGAATTTTCACTTTGCCCCTCACGCTGAGTAAAAGCTTAAAGCAAATTAAAGGGAAAAGGCAAGTGAATTTACGGGTAATAGGTATACTATTATGGTATATTATATACTATTACAGCATACTGTTACGGTATATTGCATATTACTACAGTATACTATAACAATATATTGTATACTATAATAGTATACTGTTGCAGTATAACTATATACTCCTATAGTATATTGTATACTGTAGCGGTATACTATTAGGTAACTGTGTTCTTCTTCGATTATTACAATATACTGTTGCGTATATTGTAAATTATAACAATATACTGTTGTAGTATAGCTATATACTCCTACAGCATATTGTATACCGTAGCAGTATACTATTGGGTAGTTGTGTTCTTTTTCGATTTTCAGCTGAAAATTTCAATATCAATCACCTCAAATCAGCTCCAAATGCTATCAAATTCCAATATGAACTTCCAGAAGGTATTATAAGCAATATTTAACAGCTACCCCACTTTAAAAACTCAAACGTAAGAAAANCATATATATATATATATATATATATATATATATATATATATATATATATATATATAAAATCAATCCCGATAACCAACTTTTTAAGATATTTGACCAAAAACAAATTTAGAATTTATGTCGGCAAACGATTGGATCATGCAAAGTTGCAAAAGTGACGATTTTTCTTGGTTTGTTTGCAAAAGTTATGTAAACATAGAAAAGATACTCCCTGCCTAAATGATGACATTGAGAAAAGGATAAGAACAAAACAAAGATTATCGTTACAAAAGTACCCTACTATTTGTTTAGATAATAGTTCCAACTTCTAAGTCCTATGTTCCAAAGTCATAACCAATTTGCATAATTAAATAATTAGCTATATATTTAAAAGGACCTATTTAATCAATAATAGAAATGAGAAAACAATCTCCTTAAATAGAAATTGTCTAGAAAGAGGCCGAGGATGTTCACTAATTTCTGTGTAGGTTATTAGCCACAGGAGAAGTGGAGAACATAAATATTATACCTTGTGATTTTAAGAGATAATGCTCGGTATTCAGAAGTTAAATGAAAATTCTTTGACCGTAATCTTTCTGTTCATTCAATGATATTTAATTCTTTATATGCTCGTTAGATACGTTTCATAAAATATGTAATATATAGCAGTACTCTTTTCTTTTTACGTGAAAAGATTAGATATAAAATGACAGGTTCTCATAGCTAAAAAATTTTGTTTCAAGATTATCAATACAAATTAGAAACCCTAGCAGGGTTGTGGAATTATTTTTCATAAAAGTGTCTTTGGTACTACTGGAATTATTTTTCATTATTTGGTTATTAGGTTAAAGCAATTACACTTGTAAAATTAGGCCACAAGAAGTCAGTTCACTTGAAATAAACAGCTCTTTGTTAGTTGGAAATGAATAAATTAAGCAAATAATTGAAAATGAGAATAATATGAAAGCAATAAAAGAGTAAGAGCTTCTTATTAATATCTTTCGCAAGATAGGAAAAATTGAGCATAGAATTTTGAGATAGAATGTACTTATTTTTCCAGAAATAATATTAGCATGAGTAGGAAGATTTCAGTTTGGTACAAATGTGGGGGAGAAGGAATATTTATAGTACTTCAAAGATCACGCCTTAGTAGGAAGTTTTACCTCTTATAACAAAGGTTGATACCTTATTTATTATAAATAAATTTCCTTTTAAAAATTATCTCATATAGCTACCTTTTAATTTTATAGCAAAATATCTATTTATGTCACTTCCTACCATTAAACCATTAAATACGATGTGTGTTATTTTTCTCTCTCCCTCTCTCTTCCCTCTCTCCTCTTTTCTCTTTCCCCTTTCTTCTCTTTTTCCCCCGGTTTTTTCCTCCTCTGCTTTTAGAAACTCTAGCAGGGTTGTGTTCCGCCAACGACAGATCCGGCCGGCGACCACTTTCTTAGATTTTGCATTGATTGTTCATGTTTGCCTTGTGAGATCTAAAGAAGTTCTGTCTCTAGTTTGCGTTTGATCCTTTAAATTGGTGCTTCTTCAACAACTGTCTTTATTTAACCGGCAGCGACGCCCCACATGGCGGCGGCCTGGATATTGGTGGATTGGAGACGGCGTTTGGGGCTGAGGAACTTGAAGAGTCTGTTACCTTATTTTCATTGTATTTCAATGTATCTCGCTGTATTCCATGTATTTCATTGTATTCACTGTCTTTAGTTTTTTCTACTTTTTTAATATATTCACTGTATTTAACTGTATTCAATGTAATTATATAATTTAAAAGCTTCACTTTGTTTCATTATTTTGTCCAGCAGTATATATTCAGCAGTAAGTATTCAATGTATTGTAGAATGTATTCATACATTTTTTTAATTAATATAATTTATGTATTCAGATTCATATATGTATTCAAATGTATCTGCAGTATTCATATGTATTTGCACTATAGATGACATGTTGTACGTCATGTATTCAATATATTTTTATGTATTTAACTGTATTCAATGTAATTATATAATTTCAATATATAAATCTATTTGTAAAGATACCACTAAAAAATATTTTAGTAAAGATACCACTAAAAAAAGAAATGAGGGATTGAATCTCTGAAGATTGCTCTGTTTTTGGGGTGTTTTAATTGATTCACTTACAGTTTTTAAACAGCTGAAGACCTTTTTTTTTGCGAATTCCGTTATTGTATTCACGAATACAGCTCGCAAATACAGTCGAATACATTCTCTACTTAGCTGGACTCCCCTGTTTTACGCCGAGCTTTGCTACTGTATTCATGAATACATTAGTAAAAATACATTGCAGTCTATAACAACTGAAAACATAGTTATAGGAAGTAATTTAGTAAATGATAGCTATAGCAAGCTAATAATTACTAAAACATAGTAGTTTCTGAAAAGTTCTTTTATAAATATGGCCGGCCCATTTCATTCGTTACGCTTGGTCAATTTGTAATTGTTCAAGAGTTGATGCCGGATATTTTGAAACTCATTTATTTGCCTTAATAAGTACTTTGAATTGTTTCTAAAGGAACTTTTCCAAGGTTTTTATCCAATAATTTTGTAACTTTTAGGTGGAAGTCATTTACCTTTACAAATATCGTAATTTTTAATCTGTATCACTTGCTTAAACCAACAAAATTAGACATTGTTTTAAGCCTTTAATACTAAACCATATCATGACTAAAATGCTATCCTTATACGCTACTAAGAAAAGCTTAATTTGGTCTTGTTCTGCCAGACTTCAACGA